TGGACTAGTTAATTTTCGCAAAACTTTGTTTAACTTTAGACACACAAGGAAAATGTCTGAATATTTGCCTTCGGACTAGTAGTTGGAAAAGATTTTGGTGCAGACTGTCTAAGAAGAGGAATGTACAATATGTATTTCTATTAAATAATTAATTGCAATTTTGCTATATATATACATGTAATATATGAGCTTTTCTATTGTGGTAATGTGAATAAAAAAGATACAGCCAGGGTATATATCAATGTATGATGAGACAGCAACCATATGACACAACTAAATGACATCTAGGCCCTACATGTACATATAAATGTGGGATAGATGATCAGACGTACGGCACATAGTCATCAATATTATGATGGAGTGCGGAAACTGGAAGAAGAAGAAGATGGACACATATATGATAGCCAAGGCAGCTGACCTTGGCTATGGATTATACCTTCAGATAACTACCAGACACACTGCATAACTCAACATCCAAGCTGAACATGTACATGATGTATATTGTTTTGTACATCATGCATGTTAAACACTTATAATTATTGCATTACATATGGTTGTAAATTGCAAATCACTTTTGCTTCTGAACATCCTTTTCAGAATTAGGGACTATTTCTAGAGTTGGACATGTACTGGGTGGTAAACAATTATTGACGTTGTGTTTCATTAGCATACCAATAAAATAACAACATATGCAACATGTGCAACTGAAAACTCGTTATTTTGTTTACCGATCTTACTTTTTCAACATATAATATCAAGAAACAATAATATATCAATTATATTTTAAGTTATAACTTAAAAAAATATGAAAGTATATCTTTTATACGCCAGAAAATTGAAAAAGTTGAAATCCCCATTATCTTGGGATTTCAATTTTAACATTTTTCAATAGCACAACTTTTTTGCAGTCAGATTTAACATATTTGCACCGTGTGATTATAATAGGCATATAGATAAATCGAAAGATCATGATCTAAAATAAATTATGGCAAAGTAACAAGTCATTCTTCTTCATACGATCTGCATAACAAACCTTTTTGTAAACACAAAACTAGATCTTCCCCGGATCGCCGCCATGTTTGCATTAGATTAATGAGTTCTTTCCCCTTACTGTCTTCGCCTTTCAAAACAAACAGGAAACATCTATACTAATATAAATCCAAGCCAGGTAGAGACGACGTAAATTATCCGTGCTGTATGCCGATACCGGCATTCATATAAAGAAGAATTCTATAGTAAATGGAAGTGCCAAAAAAAATTTCACATAGGCGGATCCAGGGGGGCCCTGGGGGGCCCGCCCCCCACCCCCCCTTTTGTTGGAAAAATTTGGTTGATTATCATGATAGGGAATCACTGAAGCATGACTGGAGCGGGGTCCCCTTATGAAAAGTTCTGGATCCGCCACTGTTTCAAAATTCAAAATATAAGGGATTCTACACTTCAACAGGATTGCCTGACTGAAGTGGTTCTACTGAATAGGCCGCAAGGCAACTGAAGGCAACTCTCATGATGAAAAGTACGGAGTTCGACAAAAGACTAGCTATTGATAAACAAATTAGTTTAATTTTTTGTTTGTGAATTTGAATATGATATATACCATTTTAAAAAAATGAACAGAGGTATGAATGACGAAAAAAGAATCTTCCTAATCAAGAAATAAGCCGCCCGGCGAAATGTGCTTCTCGTCAGTTCAGACAGGCTAAATTTAATAATCTAACTTCAGTCTTGTTAAAGCTGAGACTACTATAAGTATATATAATAACACACATGTCACTGTGTTATAGTAGTCTCAGGTTAAAGCAATATATATATATATATATATTGAGGAAAATTATATGGTCTTCCAAATACCGTTTCGATTCCTAACATCACTGAAGAGACATTAATTGTCGAAATCCGGATATGGTGTAGAAAAACCTTTGCACCTTTTGTTTGCGGTATAACATCTTTTCCGCAAGTTTATTGTTTTCTGTTTAGTATTAAATTTATATTTAAGATCCATTTATTACATCGGTGATCCGTTTATTTGGCAATCGCCAATGGCAGTCAGCAGGGTTTAAGAACATTTGTTGTTCGACCTGTTAGTCAAATGCGTTTTGTTAAAATATACTTTTTCACTTTTTTGGTCTTTTGGAAAATGTTGTTTGTGCTGTATTTAGACCCCTCTAACAAGAAATTTGTTTTGCATGCACACGTATAAAAATTGCGGTTTTTATCCAACGCAATCATAGGTTTGAACGTTGTTTTCAATTTAGACTTGTTTATATATATATATATATACAAATATATAAACGCCTAAAAAGTACAAAACAACACCAATATTAAAAAAAAAGGAAACATTAAATGTAGTTATCTATAAATATTTCTTATAACAGATATACTTCATCAGTATGATTATGATGTAAAATGAATCATATCAATCTATTCTGATATAACTATATATAACAATCTATTGAAATTGTAGATGGCCGCGAGTAATAACTGCAGAACAGGTAAATAAGATCTACCAGACATATGAAAACAGTTTTATTAGCACTCTAGACAAACATGCACCTTTGAAGTCAAGGTATCCCAGAAAAAGTCCTCTTCCATGTATGAATGGAGAATTGAGGAAAGCCATATATCGAAAACACATGATGCTATTTTCTCAGTACACCAAAAAACGAAATAATCATACATGGGAAAAATTCAGACAGCAAAGAAAGGAGTAGGTCCGGTAAGTGCCGATTTTGGCCTCAAATTTCAGGTTCATCTGATGAAAGATTTTGGTCACTTTTTAAACACTTAAGTGTCTACTTCAGTCGATTCAATTAGTTTATGTGACAGATTTGAACTGATTTTATCATTAAAGACGCTCAGATTCAAGCTTAGATATGAAAAATCTATCAAATATGCCATAATATGTCACTTTTCAGACGGTTTTTGTCAAAAATGAAAGTGGCCGCATCCGTGTTCACTCTCAACCTTTATATATGTTATGTATTATCATCAAATACAACTTGCATTTAAATATTAAGAATGAACACAAATGCGGCCACTTCCATTTAAGACGGAAACCGTCTAAAATTTAACTCAAATGCTAAAATTGTGAAGATTTCCGTAATTTAGCATGACTTAATGATGCTAGTACCCGATATATATGCATTGTATTGTTAAAAACTACCCATATTTATGTAGCAGAAGTATTGTACTTTCCAATAAATAGCTTAAAGTTTACATTTTAGCAATTTTGTAAAACTGCTATATTTTGGGGCCAAAAAGGGGTCTTACTGGACCTACTCCTTTGGTAAATAAGTTAAAAGGGAAGTCTATGAGTCTATGAAAATATATTTTTTAGAACGCTGTTCTGGAGGTTCAAAAAGTGCTGATTTTTGGAATACTGTCAAACCTTTCTTTAAAAAAAATGCAAATCCAGGGGGCAAAAAACTATTTTATGTGAAGAAAATAAAATAATAAATAATTCAAAGAAGTATCAGATGTCTTTAATAAATTTTTTGCTACCGTTGCTGAGAAAATAGGAAATGATGTAATATATGATCCATCAAACCATCATAGTATAACTGCCATACATGAACAAAATCACTAGAAAACAGATACAAAATTTGAATTTCAAAAGGTGAGTCCAGAAAAAGTGGAAAAAATCATAAATAAAGTAAATGCGAAAAAAGCAACAGGAGCAGATGGGATACAAGCCAAAATAGTTAAAGCAAGTAGATCTGTCGTTGCACCTCAGCTGACCAGTCTTATAAATTTGACTGTAGACACGGTATATATTTCTAAATCGACTTTAAGAAGCAAGTTATACCCTCACACAAAAAGAACGACCCATTACTGAAATAAAACTACAGACCAGTCAGTGTGGTACCTATTTTTTCAAAGTTTTATGAAAAGACATTTGAAATACAGTTATATGACTTCTTTGATTCCATTTTTTAATCCTTATTTATGTACTTTTCGTAGAGGACATGGATGCCAGACTACGCTGCTCAGACAACTGGAAGACTGGCGTAAAGCCCTAGACAAAACTTTATATACAGCTGCAGTTCTTATGGATTTATCAAAAGCTTTTACTGTTTACCTCATGATATTTTATTAGATAAATTATTATCATATGGTGTTTCCCCACATTCTGTATCTTTGTTAAAATCATATCTTTCTCACAGAAAACAGCAAATTAAAGTCAACAGTGTTCTGAGTAGCTGGGCTGCCATCCCAAAGGGGGTGTTACCCCAAGGTTCTATATTGGGGTCCCTTTTGTTTAATGTCTTCATAAATAATATTTTTTATTTTGTTAAACATAGTACCTTATACAATTATGCTGACGACAATACTCTCTGTCTTTTAGCAGTCCTGATTATGACCATCTCATATCTATATTACAATCTGAGTCTCAAGTGCTGATTGATTGGTTCAAACAAAATAAGATGCAGGCAAATCCTGATAAATTTCAGGTTATTGCTGTAGGGAAAAAAGCCTTTGCAAAAAATCCGTGTATCCAAAATCACCAAAATATTTTATCATGTGAAGAAACCGTCAAGTTACTTGGAATTGATATTGATTACCAACTAAAATTTGATGCACATATGAGTAACTTGTGTAGAAAGGCATCACAACAGCTGAATGTTCTCAAAAGAATTGGGTCCTATCTAACCAGATTAAATAAACTTATGTTTTTCCATATTTTCATTTTGAGTAGTTTTAATTTTTGCCCTTTGGCTTGGCATTTTTGTACAGAGAAAAATTCAAAAAAATTGAAAAAATACAAGAGAGAGCATTAAGATTTGTATATGACGACTATTTATCATCCTCTGAAACTCTTCTTGGGAATGCAAAGGCTCCAACCCTACAAGTGAGACGGATCAGGACAATGGCACTTGGGACTTACAAAATTTTAAATAATTTGGCTCCCTTATGTTTACAAAATTTACTTCACATTAAACACACTAAATATTCTTTTAGATACAGTAACATTTTGGAAATACCACAGGTAAGAACTATACCTCATATGGAAAGAAATCTTTAAGCTTTGCTGCTGCTTCTTTATGGAATAGTTTACCGGACCACTTCAGGACTGTAAATAGCTTCACACATTTTAGAAGTCTTGTTCAGTCCTGGAGTGGAATGGACTGTTTTTTCTTTGCCTGCAGGTAATTTTTAGATACATTATTAATGCATTTTGTGCTGCATTAACAGCTTGCATTGCAATTGATTTTTTTTTTTTTACGTTTTAATAATTACAAGAGTTATAGTTTTTACTTTAAATTATTTACTGAAAAGGTTTAGCTGCAAATTTTTAAAATTATTCCTGTCTTAGTGCTTCATATATATGTTTTTATTGATAGAAAGATACATGTATATGCTAGAGTTAAAGTGGTGCTGTTTTTATTACTATTTATTTGAATGCCTTGTTTTATTTGTTATTGTATATGTTTTTATATTCGGTGAAAAGCACATTAGAGCTTATGTTTAATACGTTTGTCAAACATGCCGAATCAAAATAAGTTTTACTTACTCACTTACTTAATCTTGAAATTTATACAATTGAAACCGAACACAACAACGCTTGTACAATTCTAACATTTCAAAAATGACGTAGGTAAGGTATTTAAAACAGAGACTGCATAGATATGCTACTAACAAAGATAGTAATGTGCGATATGAATTGGTAGATTTCTAAAATTTCAGCAGTTTGATTATGATTAAAAAATTAAATTGAAACAGGTTAAGTAATTGAACGTGGCTGCGTACTTATACATCTCAAATGAATAGCACCCTGTGATTTAAACTAGAATTTTAGAGTTTGCAAAAGATATATACAAATATATGACATATACTGTATTCAGTACAGCTTTTTCTTTTCTTTGTATGTAGACTTGACTATTTTTTTTAATTTTTTTTGTTTGTCTTATTTATTTCTTATATTGTATTATGCTCTTTGTGAGCCCATTAAATGGAAATAAAACATCTATATGTCTCTGTTAGCGCTCATCTCAGGCGCTCATAAGTAAATTTCATACTAGTACACCTTATCGCCTCTTTAAATTGCCTTTTCTTTGATTCAAAAATGGAACATCATTGAATGCGACGGGGTTGAAAAAAATAGTCAGGCTTTTATTGAATGTCACATAATATAACAACTTCCTCAACCAATAAAAACTGGCCGCAACGATGATTGGATGGGGGTCTACAGAATAGAGAATAGTGGGCAAATATTGCAAAATAAATGACAAAAAATAAAGATTAGAGAAAAATATGTAAAAAATAAAGAAAAGAGAATAATGAGCAAAATAAATAAAGAATAGAAAAAAATGTCTAAAAAGTTATTTAATGAAGAAATGAAGGACCCCCATCCAGACCCTCATATAAGCAAGAGTGATGAAAGTGGCGTTAAACACCAACAACTGGTTAATCATATTACGACGGGTGTTAATAGTGTTACTTCTACTAAATGTTACTAACTAAATTTTACTTAATGTTGTTTTCCAGTACAGGATATACTCACGGTTGCTCTAAATCTTCATCTATGACCACGCCTATATCTTCATCTATGACCACGCCTATATCTTCATCTATGACCACGCCTATATCTTCATCTATGACCACGCCTATATCTTCATCTATGACCACGCCTATATCTTTCTCTACTTTGCATTTGCTTATATTTTGACCTTGTAAAACAACCTCTAGTCAAGTATTTTATGACTCGAAATAGTTTTTAAAAAAAAAAACTTTTTTCAGCAAATCTTGCTCTATAAGATAGGCGAAGGATATCAAAGGGACATTCAAACTCATAAGTCGAAAACAAACTGACAACGCCATGGCTAAAAAAGAAAAAGACAGACAACAGTACACAAAACACAACATATAAAACAAAAGACTCAGCAACACGAACCTCACCATAAACTGGGGTTATTTCAGGTGCTCCGGAAGGGTAAGCAGATTCTGCTCCACTTGTGGCACCCGTATAATGGAATATAATGCAAAGCATAATTTTTTTGAAATTATTTCACATTTTATCTAGTTTCCTATATTTGGTGCTTAATCTGTCTTTTGATATTTGAGTTTCGTACAGTCCATAATCATCTGTTTCTGAGTGTCAATGTGTTCATATCATATATCTCAATCATGTCAAGTTATGCATGCGTGTGTGATGAAAAAAGTTCCATGTAGGAGGGTCTGGATATGGGGGTTGGGGTTGGATGGGGGTTGGGGGGGGGGGGTGTCTTCATTTCTTTATCCTTTAAACTTTTATGTCATTATTCTTTATTCTCTATATTTTAACAACCCGTTATTTTCTATTTTTTATTATTTTTCTCTAATCTTTATTTTTTGGCCCATTTTCCTGTAGTAATGGTACACTATTCTCTATATAGATATAGGAAGATGTGGTATGAGTGCCATTGAGACAACTCTCCATCCAAGTAAAAATTTATAAAAGTAAACCATAATAGGTCAAGGTACGGCCTTCAAAACGTAGCATTGGCTCACACCGAACAGCAAGCTATAAAGGACCCCAAACATTACTAGTGTAAAACCATTCAAACGGGAAAACCAACGGTATAATCTATATAAAAAACACGTATGAACTACATAAACAGACGACAACTACTGTACATCAGATTCTATGTTGGTTTTAAGACAAACTTGGTTTAATTACTGATGAAAACTTTGAAATATATATACATCATGTATATATAGTCGATAAATGAATGCATAGATTAAAAAAAAACAAACAAATGTTCTTACTAGTGCGCTTTTAAAAAGGATATGAAAAGTGGTATTTGTTTATTATTTTATTTATGCGTTTTGAAATAATGCAAGTTTATCATTTCTGACAATGTCACCGTGCTTAAACCGGCCGGACTGTCAGCTCGAGAGCGATGGGATATCATGACCCAATAATCATTCGTTCTAAAATTAGTGTTGATTTTGTAAATTTTTTAATTTGATGATTATCATCATTTCGATTCGTTACCGATCTAAATCATTCAAAAGTTACATTTATTTTACGCGTAACTATAATCCTTAAGTTTCATTTACATTAATATATATATAAAACAGATGAATATCCCGCCGCGTCTTATATGTTCAGACTTTTCGCAACACAGAATGTACATACACTGACAAATTATGATAACTGCCGAAAGCGGCTCTTGACAACATTAGTAAAGGAAGAATGTCATCGCTTTGGGCAAAACTCTTAAATTATATTACTTGGTAAATCATTATATTTTGACGGGTCCAACTTAGTTCCGCATGTCAATCTTAGAATTTGTATTAATTCATGTTGTTATTCAGTTTTGTTTTGATCAATATGTAATTCTCCAACGACTTGGACTTTATCTTATATATATATAGATCGAGACAGCTTGTTTCCACCCGAAACTCAAATATATGACCGTACCGACAAACAACGGCTATATAGTTTTGCTACTTTTAACCAAAAATTAAATAACCTGATACGGGACGGACGGACGGACGCACATACCTGAAAACAATCAGCCCTACCATCGTAGACAGGGCATACAAAACCTCCCTCCAGTATAAAGAAGGTGATTTAAATTAACATCTCAGTACAGTGAGTGTGAGTCAGGTCTGAATGGAAGGCCCTCTGAGAGACCCATGTTGTCATAGAATGAGTGATACAATACAAACTCTTGCATGGATAATAGTAGTTAGGATTTATATATTTTGTACAGAAAGTTGCAAATTACCTTCAAGCTGCAGACCCAACCTTCATGTTCATGTGTGTGTGTGTGTGGGGGGGGGGGGGGGGGGGGGGGGTTGCAATCGTATGGTTGTCAAATATTTAGCTTCAAATATTCCCGCCAACTTCAACTTGCTATCTTTATAAATTATTAAGAAATGACTACATTCCTTGGTTTCTCAGTACTTATCAAACCTCGTATGATAATATTTAAGGTCAAACAACTACAAAGTCCATGACGCATGGTGATTATTTAACATAAAATGCTTGTATTTGTTTTTCAAAATATTTACTTCTATACGCGGGAGACGATATAACTAAAACACTTTTTTTTTTCAATTTACCACTTTGTGCTTTTTTATCCATTTGTTATTCCAATCTTGGTTCCTATATATTCATAACGTTTCTGTTGGACTGATTCGATCTAAATTTAGCCGGCCCACACGTATGATCAGACCACTTTTGTTCACCTCAGGAGACAAGCAAAACAAACAGATAACTACTACGGTTAACACAGTTTGACACTTCAGTTTAGTTTTATCACTTAAATGCAGCAATGGGCACTGATTTAATTCTCTCTTTATTTCTTGTGATTTTCTGTGGAAATTTGGTAAGTAAAATAACAGTTTTTGATGTTTGGTCAATATGTACATGATATATGCCGGCCAGTTCATTTTAAATCATATGTTTATAGAATACGACGAGGGGGTTATGTAACAAGTAGGAACTAGAAAGTGGGTTAAATTGTAAGAGAAGAAAAAAGGGCACAAATCATAATATTATTTTATTTTGTCATTTTTGCGGGCACTATCCGTAATATATGGGATGGTTCCCTCAAATGAGTTTCCAGTTTTGAAAACGTTATTTTAATTAATTAATGATTTATAGTAGTTGAAATTGGGAATATTCAAGAACATGTAAAGTTTATTAGCATTGTAAATTAACAGAAACGGGTATTAAAAATAAAACTATTTTTCTAATTGCATTCGTTTTCTACAACGCGTGTTATTTTAATCAAATATCCACCAAATATTACTTCAAAAATTAATCCTATTTTGAAAATGTTTGAGGGATGTTTACTTTCTTGACCGGGAACCATACCCCAATTCGATGTTAGGTGGCTAGAGGAAAACTGCAGTAATTTGAGATTTTTGTTTGTTTGGGGGTAAAAAACGTCTCATCAATTTATGTTTCCCGGAGGGTTTTTACCAACTTCCGGGATGTGTGTTATACAAATATTCATATTAGCAAGGGTTTGTATAGTCCTGTACTATACAAATCCTTAACATTAGCATGTCTGTAAGCCAATAGTTTCCATTCTTAGGTTTTTAAATAAAAGTCAGACGACACCACAAAGCAAATTAAATTATACGACTCATACCATTCATCTTTTGTGTACGTGGGGAAAAAGGAGGGGGCGGTTTTTTTTAAGTTGCTTGCATAACGCTTAATATAAATAATAGTGTTTAATGAAAATGAGAATACTCAAATGAATAAAACAAAAATGGATCTATTTTAATTGTTTGTTCCTATGTGTTTTGAAAAAAAACAAAAGGGGGCCGGGCCCCCTGGAAAACCCTTTCTAAGGATTTATGTTTATTCAAACTGTTCAAAATACAAGTAGAGTGCACCTTTTTATGTAATCCTTGATCCTTGTTTGTGATTGCCCAATTGGCAGCCATATTAGACAAGGTCAAAAACTGGACTAATCTGCATCACTAGTTCAAGAGAGGACAAGAGAATATATGCACCAATTAGAAAATAAGAGGCTTTTCCTCGCGTGTGGTGTTTTATTTACTGTGGTAATTAAAAAAAAGTTATTTTTAGGTTAAAGGTAAAATTGCATAGAAAATGGCACACTTTTAACAGTATAGTAGCCCATTGAAGTAGGAAATAAATTTATTCTGCGAAAAAAGTTTTTGGGATTCAACGGGAAATATTGCAAAGTGCAAACAAGATAGTATTTATATTACTATACAAATCCTTTGTGCAAATGATTATATATATGAACAACTTTTGCTTAGCATTTTTTTTCTGAATATCTAATTATTAATGAGTTTGATCCCTTGGAAGATGCTGTTTTTCAGTGGGAACAATCTAGCAACTAATTCAGTGGCGGATCCAGAACTCTTTGTAAGGGGGGGCCCACTGACTGACCTGGGGGGGGGGGGGGGGGCTCCAGCCATGCTTCAGTGATTCCCTATATAATCAACCAAATTTTTCCCACAAAAGGGCCCCCCCCCCCCTGGATCCACCTATGTAATTCATTTTCTGGAAAAGTCGCTTACTAAAAGCTCCTGATATTTACATAAACAAATGCAATTTTCAGTAGCTTGGCTAAATTAAAAAAAAAAGTTTTTTGCACTGTAAATTTATATTCCGTAAAAATTAATTATAAGTGCTGTATTATTTCTGTTTCCATGATAGGAAAAATAATCTGGCGTCACTGTATTTTCTTTTCACTTTAAGTAGAAATCAGTCAATATTTAGAGGGAAAAAATATTCAAAAGGACAAAATAAAGATAACCTTATGATGGTGTCATGCTTTGAAATTGTGTAGTTTGCCATGATTTTTCATATTTAAATGATTTAAAAAAAGGGGATAGAGTGGCCATCTATAATTACTGATCATTATCACAGGAATGTTTACAGCATGAACACAATTTTTCAACATTCTTTTGAGAAAACTTAATTTAAGTAAAAAAACATGATTTTTTTAGCTGCAATTTACATAAATTTTATACATTTACAGTGGTTCCAAGGCTTTGGGAAATCAACTGAACATTTGGTCTAGTAAACCTGATTCTTCTTAACTGGACCAGACTCTTTTTACAGGACATTTACACATATGATTTGGACAAAATTCAAAAATTTACAGGTCATTTTGTCCAGTATAGCATATCACTTAACTGGACCAAACCAATTTTTACTGGTATTTGCCCAATGTCTAGCAACCTAGGGAATATTGACTGCATTTATGGATCTATTTCGTAAATTTTTAATTGTGTGTATCTCTTAAAGTAGACAAATGCTTCCTACATCATTTTTAGATATTAAGATGCTGTTCTGAAACTATTCTAAATGGATACAAAATTTAATCAAAATCAGAATTTGACATCACAAAGCTGTGATAAGTTATTTTATGAAGAGCTGAGCAGAGTGATATAGACAGTGGGATTTACATTGATTAACAAAATTATATATTGAACCAATGAATGCATATGTACTTAACTTAGTCCTCTAGATTGCACGTTTTTTTTTTTATTTTTGAAGAATCCATATTGAGAATTTGACAAAAAATATTTCATTCAATGATTCAGATTGTTGATCGAAAATTTTGGGTTGTGTTAATTTTGTTTAATATTTTCCACATGTTTCCGTTTGTTAAGGATGTTCGCTACTCTTGTTTTTGACTTTTTGTCAGATATTTGGAATCCTCTAGTTTTATCCATGTAGTGCCAATAAAAATTTTGCCCACTGATTGATCACGACCCCTACTTTTCTTTTCATGATTTTATAATGCATATATAGTTTTAAAAGTCATTTTTGAAAATTTTATAAAATCCTTGTTATTTTTTCTTAGTTTTTGAAAGGAAAAATGTTAAATGTATGAAAAATCTAGAGGGATCGAACCATTTCCTGCCAAATTCAATCTAATTAAAATTAAATCTCCGCACTTGCTCCTCGTTGTTTATATGTCGCGCGTGGGATGCGCGACATATTTATAATTTTAGATTGTGCCAAATTTTCAATTGATTATATCTCAAAAACTAGAACACGGACCTATCATTTTTTTCTAATTTTTAAGTTCCCTTATTCATATTTTTTCAATCTATAACAGTCTTTTAAACACCTTGTTATTTTGAAACAGAGGAGTGAACATCCTTCATTAAACTTTGTCATAACAATTGTTTAATGATTTGGTGTATTAAATTTTTCTTTCAGAATCAATTAACAATATCTACCATTCAGTGCACATTTGTGTACCATACATTTTAATCTCTTTCAGAAAAATATATTAGAAATATCTACAGTATATTTATTTAGTTTCTACCTTCCTTGACATTTACGATTGCATATTATAATATTATATAATTTTATAACATGATTTATCATGTAAAAACTATGTAAATTATATAGATATGATTAAAAGCGATGGTAAATACAAGGGGAGTTTCTGTACAACATTTAACAGCCCAAAATATCCCGCCACTTTGAAAATATTTTTGCATATCATGAAGGGTCATAAAAAAGTACTATATGCACAGACAAATGGGAAATAAAATAGGCATTTTTTATATTACTATTTTACCAATTTGAAAAAACATGTTGATTAATGAGCTTCAATCAGGCCGTTAGTTTTCTCGTTTGAATTTTTTACATTTGTCATTTTTGGGGCCTTTTATAGCTTACTATACGGTATGGCTTTTGCTCATTGTTGAAGGCTGTACAGCAACCTATACATGTTAACTTTTTTGTCATTTGGTCTCTGGTGGAGATTTGTCTCATTGGAAATCGTACCACATCTTCTTATTTTGATATTCAAGTACGAAAACATGTAAAATATAAATTGCAAGCATGTACGTAGCATGCAAATCAAACTCTTTACGATCAGCTGGCATGTGTTGCTTTTATTTTTAAATACAGTAGAATTCTTTAGCAATTGTTTATATTTGTAGGTGGTTGCAAAAGATGGACAATGTACAATGTATGGAGATTGTGGGCCCTCCGAAGCAGGGTCCTCTAAACATCTCAACTGTAAATATAATGGACCAGCAAAACCGCTTACAGATCCAGATGGACTCAAAATCCTTGAGACATATTGTCCTGAATTAGTAACAGGTAAATATCTGAAAAACCTTATAAAATCCATGACAGATCCAGGTCCATTGGACTAAAAATCCTTGAGACAAATTGTCCTGAATTAGTAATGGGTAAATATCCAGAACCTTTAAAAATCCATGACAGATCCTGGTGAACTATCAATCTGTCAGACTATTTCTAAACCGCTGACAAGATTCACATTTATCTAAAATATTCTGGAAACCTCTTGTCCTTTAAAATTTAAGTAAAAAGAAAATCTCAAAAGCCTTAAAAAGTCCATGACTTATTGAAAGTAAAAAATCTTCTATTGTTAGGAAGCAAAATTCATAAACATTTAAAAGCAAAAGAACCATTTAGGGCTTATAAAAGAGGGTCTGGATGGGGTTTACAGAATAGAGAATAATGGGCAACATGTGCAGAATAAAGAGCTTAAAAAAAAAACAGAGAGAAAAATAGGCCAAATATATAAAAAATAGAGAATAATGGGGTACTTAAATATAAAGAATAGAGAATAAAAGGCAAAATTTATAAAGAATAGAGAATAATGCCCTTAAAAAATACAGAATGCAGAAATGAAGGACCCCATCCACACCCTCATGAAACAGAACAACCAAAATTATCTAGGTCAGAAGGACTTTTGAAAGAGTGAGTGCAATTAACCTTAGTTTTAGAACAATAACACAATTACAGTGTTATGCAATAAGTATTTGTTACTTTCAGTTTGTTGCTAAATATTTCATGTAAAATATGTTGGTTTTTGTTTCAAAAAATATTTTGAAGTCATTTCCGGTTTGATTTTAAGACTTGGTACCAATAGAATCAAAATTGTGACCGGATTATTTGTTTATTTGGTTATACTTCTGTTGCGTCCAAGCAGTTCATTTTCTGATGATATAAAGTTATAAACACAAGTATTATTTTTTTATCCGGATATTTGCTATATTAAAATTATATTTCAACTACTGGTAAATTAGATTTAAAAAAATATTATTATTCATGTTCACATTAGGAGAAAACAAAAACAACTGAAGAAAAAAATTATGACCAAATAATCAAATAATCTTTTAGACATTATTTTGGGTATTTTTAAGTCAAACCATATATTGTGGATTCACTATTATTTGTGGGATACAAATTTTCGTGGATTTTGTGGGAATTGATGAACCACAAATTAAATATGTTCAATGAACTGCAAATTTACTATAAGTTTGTATGCAGATTTTGGCAAAACCTCGAAATTAAATATACAAGAAAGTTCGGAAACTACAATTTGTCTTTAATCCACGAAAATTGGTATCCACAAAAATAAATAAATCCACAGTATGCCAATTTAAAATATTGTTTGGAAAAATTGTATTTTATTTGAAATATATAGCAACAAATTGTATGTGACGAATACTTATGGCCATGCACTGACTGTATCAGTAGTTAAATAAATAGCTGCAAGCCAAAATAATACAGGAATTAAAGGACACAGAAAGAAAAGAACTCCGTGAGGAAGTATGATTATGTAAACTGCTGTTTTTAAAGTGCCAGTCTTTGTAAGAATCGGGCAATTTAGAAAAAATATAATATGTAGAGACAACAACATCTGGGTTACCGCAAGGTGATAGTTTTATTGAGTCTACATGTTTCGCCACTTACGGTGGCGTCTTCAGGACAATTTAAACATAGAAAACAAATACTGAAGTACATGAAATGCGGTGCATATGGGGTTACAAAGGTTAACAAGACGTAACGTCACAATAATTGATTTGACAACTTTAAAATGAAAGTGAAAGTAAAAGTTAATAATGCATTGTCAGTGTCTTTTCCAAAATGGACAACACCTCACAGGACATTCCGTACCATTCCAAAAGGCTTCACTCGGAAAGAGGTACTACTTCCAATTGCGTCGGGAATGTTGTAAGATGTATGGTAGTCGCACATGTAGGGCATGGTGGAAGTTGTGGTGAATTGGTTACATTTTGCGGTTGTGGTACACTATCCATGTTGCAAGTTTATTTCAACAATAATGGTGCGGTTCTGCGGTTCAGTACGTTTTGCGGTGGTCTTCTTTTTCGCGGGTTTTCCTTTTCTTCGAGGTATGGGCGGTTTCTTCAGTGAGGTTGGTGGTAGAATGGAACTGGTCGGTAGACATGAGGCAAACGGTTGTAACTACAACGCAGGACGGCTAAGGTGGATCGTGTGCGGATGCAGGGGTTCACAGAAAAATAAATAATTTGTGACGAGTGAACCAACACCTTCTAACGGAAAAGCTGGTAGAGTAACCAAGATGGATACCGAAGTATGCTGCGGTTGTCTTAAAACCTCATGGAAATATAATATGTAGAGACAACAACATCTGGGTTACCGCAAGGTGATAGTTTTATTGAGTCTACATGTTTCGCCACTTACGGTGGCGTCTTCAGGACAATTTAAACATAGAAAACAAATACTGAAGTACATGAAATGCGGTGCATATGGGGTTACAAAGGTTAACAAGACGTAACGTCACAATAATTGATTTGACAACTTTAAAATGAAAGTGAAAGTAAAAGTTAATAATGCATTGTCAGTGTCTTTTCCAAAATGGACAACACCTCACAGGACATTCCGTACCATTCCAAAAGGCTTCACTCGGAAAGAGGTACTACTTCCAATTGCGTCGGGAATGTTGTAAGATGTATGGTAGTCGCACATGTAGGGCATGGTGGAAGTTGTGGTGAATTGGTTACATTTTGCGGTTGTGGTACACTATCCATGTTGCAAGTTTATTTCAACAATAATGGTGCGGTTCTGCGGTTCAGTACGTTTTGCGGTGGTCTTCTTTTTCGCGGGTTTTCCTTTTCTTCGAGGTATGGGCGGTTTCTTCAGTGAGGTTGGTGGTAGAATGGAACTGGTCGGTAGACATGAGGCAAACGGTTGTAACTACAACGCAGGACGGCTAAGGTGGATCGTGTGCGGATGCAGGGGTTCACAGAAAAATAAATAATTTGTGACGAGTGAACCAACACCTTCTAACGGAAAAGCTGGTAGAGTAACCAAGATGGATACCGAAGTATGCTGCGGTTGTCTTAAAACCTCATGGAAATATAATATGTAGAGACAACAACATCTGGGTTACCGCAAGGTGATAGTTTTATTGAGTCTACATGTTTCGCCACTTACGGTGGCGTCTTCAGGACAATTTAAACATAGAAAACAAATACTGAAGTACATGAAATGCGGTGCATATGGGGTTACAAAGGTTAACAAGACGTAACGTCACAATAATTGATTTGACAACTTTAAAATGAAAGTGAAAGTAAAAGTTAATAATGCATTGTCAGTGTCTTTTCCAAAATGGACAACACCTCACAGGACATTCCGTACCATTCCAAAAGGCTTCACTCGGAAAGAGGTACTACTTCCAATTGCGTCGGGAATGTTGTAAGATGTATGGTAGTCGCACATGTAGGGCATGGTGGAAGTTGTGGTGAATTGGTTACATTTTGCGGTTGTGGTACACTATCCATGTTGCAAGTTTATTTCAACAATAATGGTGCGGTTCTGCGGTTCAGTACGTTTTGCGGTGGTCTTCTTTTTCGCGGGTTTTCCTTTTCTTCGAGGTATGGGCGGTTTCTTCAGTGAGGTTGGTGGTAGAATGGAACTGGTCGGTAGACATGAGGCAAACGGTTGTAACTACAACGCAGGACGGCTAAGGTGGATCGTGTGCGGATGCAGGGGTTCACAGAAAAATAAATAATTTGTGACGAGTGAACCAACACCTTCTAACGGAAAAGCTGGTAGAGTAACCAAGATGGATACCGAAGTATGCTGCGGTTGTCTTAAAACCTCATGGAAATATAATATGTAGAGACAACAACATCTGGGTTACCGCAAGGTGATAGTTTTATTGAGTCTACATGTTTCGCCACTTACGGTGGCGTCTTCAGGACAATTTAAACATAGAAAACAAATACTGAAGTACATGAAATGCGGTGCATATGGGGTTACAAAGGTTAACAAGACGTAACGTCACAATAATTGATTTGACAACTTTAAAATGAAAGTGAAAGTAAAAGTTAATAATGCATTGTCAGTGTCTTTTCCAAAATGGACAACACCTCACAGGACATTCCGTACCATTCCAAAAGGCTTCACTCGGAAAGAGGTACTACTTCCAATTGCGTCGGGAATGTTGTAAGATGTATGGTAGTCGCACATGTAGGGCATGGTGGAAGTTGTGGTGAATTGGTTACATTTTGCGGTTGTGGTACACTATCCATGTTGCAAGTTTATTTCAACAATAATGGTGCGGTTCTGCGGTTCAGTACGTTTTGCGGTGGTCTTCTTTTTCGCGGGTTTTCCTTTTCTTCGAGGTATGGGCGGTTTCTTCAGTGAGGTTGGTGGTAGAATGGAACTGGTCGGTAGACATGAGGCAAACGGTTGTAACTACAACGCAGGACGGCTAAGGTGGATCGTGTGCGGATGCAGGGGTTCACAGAAAAATAAATAATTTGTGACGAGTGAACCAACACCTTCTAACGGAAAAGCTGGTAGAGTAACCAAGATGGATACCGAAGTATGCTGCGGTTGTCTTAAAACCTCATGGAAATATAATATGTAGAGACAACAACATCTGGGTTACCGCAAGGTGATAGTTTTATTGAGTCTACATGTTTCGCCACTTACGGTGGCGTCTTCAGGACAATTTAAACATAGAAAACAAATACTGAAGTACATGAAATGCGGTGCATATGGGGTTACAAAGGTTAACAAGACGTAACGTCACAATAATTGATTTGACAACTTTAAAATGAAAGTGAAAGTAAAAGTTAATAATGCATTGTCAGTGTCTTTTCCAAAATGGACAACACCTCACAGGACATTCCGTACCATTCCAAAAGGCTTCACTCGGAAAGAGGTACTACTTCCAATTGCGTCGGGAATGTTGTAAGATGTATGGTAGTCGCACATGTAGGGCATGGTGGAAGTTGTGGTGAATTGGTTACATTTTGCGGTTGTGGTACACTATCCATGTTGCAAGTTTATTT